GTGCCGCCGTGGTACCCGCGTAACCGGGCAGCTGCTGCCTCGCAGGCCGCGCGATCCGCGGCGGCGGGGAGCTTCCCGAACCGGTGTGGGTCTGGTTTCCGTTCAGCACTGCCACGGCTGCCTGCCCAGCGGACCCACCTGCCAGAGCCAGAGGGATGGTGGTGGTTACGGGGCAGAACAAAGTGAGTGCAAACCCGGATGATGCCATGTCGAGCTCAGAGGCGGAGGAGGATTTCCAAGAGCCAGCCACTCCTACTGCAACCCAGGCGGGACACGCACTACCTCTGCTGCCTCAGCAGGTAAGAGCGCTCTGGTGCTGTCCAGCTGATGAGGTCCAGCTACTGCCGCACGTACAGCTCGGGTGCCAGAGAACTCGGGATTTCTTTCTTGGAGTATTTATGGATCGCCAGTTCAGTTTCCATTGGCAGTGAAAAGGTTGAATAAAACGAAGTCCCTTGAATTTTATCTCAGTAGCTTGGCAGCATTACCCAGAATTCCCATCCGTGTTTAGACTTGACAGATAAAGCTGTTTATTCTGGTACCAGGGTATCTTAAAGTGTGATGTTAACATTCTAGGCCTGTTGTAAACCTAATGTAAATACAGAATCACTGGGGTTTTGAGTGTATGCTGTAGCACAGTAGTGTAAATGAACCAATAGATTAGCAACTGAGTGCAAGTCCTGATACTGGCCTGAGACTTCCTACCTTTGGTGCGTGTGTAAGTTGTAGGGGATGTGTATGGGATTTTTTCCCCCAAAAGAGTCAAGAGGAGGCATTCATACTCTTAATTAATATTTGATATTAAAGCTGAGTAAGTACTGCTGTTTCAGATTTCCAGCCACAGTTGAACCATTCACTGGTCACACCCAGAAGCCAGCCAAAGTATTCAGGTTGTTAACCCTTGAACCGCACTGGCCAGGGCAGAAGCATCTGGCAGACTGTATGCTATGTCTTCTGGAAGTCGTAACCCTTTTGGCTGAACGTATCTGCAAAGGACCAGAGCTCGTTTCTGATGATGTGATTCCTTTTGCAGTTTCCAGAAGTTGTTCCGCTAAACGTGGGAGGGATGTATTTTACAACCAGACTGTCAACTCTGAGGCGTTATGAGGACACAATGTTGGCGGCTATGTTCAGTGGAAGACACTATATTCCAACAGATGCTGAAGGCAGATACTTTATTGACAGGGATGGAACCTACTTTGGGTATGTGCAGAGTCCTCAGTGTACGTTAAAAGTTGTTACTGAAGAAAAACAAGTTTTAACGTCTTTATTTCCTTCTAGTTCAATGATATTTGTGTGGTAGGTGAATGTGGCTGGCATCCCCGCCTTCAAAACATCTCAAGGAAAGAGTATATTGCAATTAAAAATCTATTTGTTTTATCCTTAAGGGCTTAAGTTTTACAGTGGGAAGAGACAAACAAATCCTGTTTGAATTTGTATCTTGTACCCTCTGGACTATCTCCCTTCAAGATATCAGGTTGTTTAGAGGTTTTCAAAAAGAATGTGTTTGGCATTGCGTTTCCACAGGAAGCTCTGCTGTACAACTCTCTTTTAATTGATACTCCATTATTGATGATAAAGAGGAATTGCATCTAAGTTTCTTAAACAGTTGGAAGTGTGATGTTTTCAGTGTTCAGACAGGATGTAACGTCACTGGTAAAAAAGCAAAAGCCTAGAAGAATGATTCAATGATTTTTGCTGCTGGTGCCGTATTTCTTCACCTTCAGGTTTCCTTCTTATGTGCTCAGCTTTTGGTTTGTGTTGAATGGAACTACCCATGCTGTTACTGCTGTTGTGTTTGAACTGGTGTGAGATGGCTAGGGAAAGGTGAGCCGTGTTGATGGGTTCATGTTCACGGGTACAGACTGCCCACAGCACAATGTGCCACTTGGCTTGCATTTCTTGACTCTGCTTTGCACACATTTCCTTAATCTCTCTGATGGAGGATTGAATTATTTTCAAAGCATATTTGGCTGGTGCCATAATCTCAGACAGAAGTAGATTAAGGTACTATATTCATTGGCAAACAATTGCTTACATTTGGCAGTTTGGAAGCACCTGCTGCTGTGTTGGACAGTCAGTTTGTTGGGGATGGTGTCAGTCTGAACTGGAAATCTGGCTGGGACAGGGCGCCAAGTTGGCCTGTGCTGTCTGTTGAGGACACCTCCTTTGCAAACGCACCATCCATTCACCTGGAAGCCTGGTTCTGTGTGGGATAAAATGTCCACGCATATGATTCTCCAGGAAAAGAGAACAGATTATTTTGCACTGACCTAACCTTGAGATGCAGTGGATGCGATCCCTCTCCCATGAAATACTGTCCCCTCTTCTATTTTACGCGGTTCCTCCACCTTGAATGTTTTGTTTAAAGTATGATGGTATTTTTTCGAATAACTTTTGACGTAAGCAGAGGCAAAATGTGAAACGATGACTTGGAAACTTGAACCTGGGAAATGCTTTTCAAAACGTATGTTGGAAATATGACTCAGACTTACTTCGGTTGCTGTTGAAACGTAAGGATTTCTGTCTCAGTAGAATAAACCATGACTCTCCAGTGTTTCCTCTCCTTTCCCACCTGCACCAGTTTTGGCAGGAACATGTTACTTAATAATATTTTTGCCCTTTTTTTTTTTTTTAGAGACATACTCAACTTTCTACGATCTGGTGACCTGCCGTCGAGAGAGCGAGTGAGGTCAGTTTACAAGGAAGCTCAGTATTATTCCATAGGACCATTGCTAGACAATCTAGAGGATATCCAGCCTCTTAAAGGAGAAAAAGTTAGACAAGCTTTCCTGGGCCTAATGCCGTATTACAGAGGTAAATAAACACTCCAGTACTGACTGTTTCTTGAGCGTGATTCACGTGGTATACATGGTGCTTGCAGGTCTGCTTTCCGCTTCCAAACTAGCTCCATTGTGTCTGAGAAGCTTATTACGTACGTTTCATGCTCGTTAGATCTCCGAGCTCTCCGCATCAGATTTGTTCCTGCTGCGTCCAAGGATGTGGATTTTTATGCTGTCTTAAAAGGGAGCAAGATCTAGGCCATAACATGCCAGGGTCATTAATGGAGAAGGTTTCCCTGCCTCTGCATGTGCTCTGTTAGGACCTGCAAGTGCATAAACTCGGGCACATAAGCAGGACACAAGCTAACCTGAGATTGACTTAAGTACTGCGGATCTTCCTGCCCTGCTAACACTGTTAAGAATTACTTGTTAACCCGGCAGGAGCGTGTTTCCCATGAAATGATTGCGCTTCTTCTCTTGGCTAGGCGCTTCATCGTTGTTTTCAACTTTTTTGTAGATCATTTGGAACGGATCATCGAAATTGCAAAGCTTAGAGCAATGCAAAGGAAGGCAAGATTTGCAAAACTGAAGGTGTGTGTCTTCAAAGAAGAGATGCCCATCACTCCCTATGAATGCTCACATTTCAATTCTTTACGCTTTGAAAGGAGCGAAAGTGAGACCAAGCTGTTTGAACATCACTGCGAAGTAGATGTGTCTTTTGGCCCCTGGGAGGCCGTCGCTGATGTGTATGATCTCCTGCACTGTATTGTGACAGACCTGTCTGACAGAGGGATAACTGTGGATCACCAGTGCATTGGGGTGTGTGATAAACACCTGATAAATCACTATTACTGCAAGCGTCCCATCTACGAATTCAAGATTACATGGTGGTGAGTTACCCTGCCCCCAACGGCGCGGAGCAGGAAAGGACTTCCAGGCAGCAGTTGCTCTGGCTGTCTCTGTGCCGTGGCTCTGAAATGCACTGCTGCTAACCCGTACCGGAACCACTCTGCTCGAGTGTGGGCTAACGCCTGGGTGCTCCACGCAGGGAAACCTCTGACGGGGGCTGAAAAACCTCTGCGGTCGTGAAAGCCAGCCTGAAGCAAGACTGTTGGCTCAGGTACCTTAACGAGGCACGGAACGCAATCGCCTCATGGAAGTTCTGGAGAGGAGTGTCTGACATCTTTTACAAGGAGCCACCCACCGCGTGGCTGCAGCGTCACAGTCTGCAGAATGGACACTGCAGATCCCACCTGCGTGGCTGTGAAGCCGGGGTGCTACAGCGCCGACTTCGCTTGGTTGAATTTTACCCACTGAGAAATGTTTTAGTCACTGCTTAAACCTCCCACTTGATAGAATTGGGTAACGCCCAGCAGAGATTCTGGAGATGTAATTTCGATGTGATAGACCATTAAAAAAAAAGAGTATTCCCTATATGTTATGAACTGTTGTCACAACTAAGCTGTATTTTTAATTAAGAATCTGCGTTGTGAATTATAACATTATATTTCAGTGATTTCCTTTGTTAGAAAACAGGAGTAGCAGATTTGGAATCTCTTCCTTAATGCTTTTAGGAATAATAACTGTTCATGGAAAACTTGTGCCTGGTTTTAGCCTTAGAAATTCTAAATGTTTACAGTATCCACAAGAAAGAAGCTCGATAGAGTCAGGTCATTTGCAAAGGCTCTGGGTAAATGAGAAACCCCTGTGTGCATTCCTAACAGCCAAGTCAGTGGAATATTTAACGTATGTTATTTTATTGCTGACTCTTTTACCTTCTGTGATGTTAAACTTTGTCTAGGGGTTAGTCAAATGGTGATCCTAACAAGAGCTTCCTTCACCTCACCTTCTTCCGACACTCGAGTCTCACCCCTGACATTCTTGCTGAACCTTCGTGGCGTGAGGGAGAGCGAGATCAGCCTTCTGCTCGGATGTTCCGGCAGTTACCACCCAGCGTGGCCGGGTAGTGCAACTCCTCCCCAGTGAGAGACGGCCGGCGCAGGCTCGCGTTCTTTTCAGAAGGTAGTCAGTGCACCTCTGCGGTAGTAACCACATCATAGAATCATAGAATGGTTTGGGTGGGAAGGGACCTTAAAGATCACCTAGGTCCCCCCCCCTGCCATGGGCAGGGACACCTTCCACCAGACCAGGTTGCTCCAAGCCTCATCCAGCCTGGCCTTGGACACTTCCAGGGATGGGGCATCCACAGCTTCTCTGGGCAACCTGTCCCAGTGCCTCCCCACCCTCTCCGGGAAGAACTTCTTCCTGATATCCAATCTAAACCTCCCTGATTTCAATTTGTACCCATTACCCCTTGTCCTATCACTACAGGCCCTTGTAAAAAGGCCTCTCCCAGCACCCTTGTAGCCCCTTCAGATACTGGAAAGCTGCAATGAGGTCTCCTCGGAGCCTCCTCTTCTCCAGGCTGAACAAGCCCAGTTCTCGCAGCCTTTCGTCATAGGAGCGGTGCTCCAGCCCTCTGATCATCTTCATGGCCTCCTCTGGACTCGCTCCAAGTGGTCAATATCCTTCTGAGTTTAACATCCCGGAGTTTAACTCCTCTGTAGCCAGAGTGAAGGGGAGACGTGAACATTGGAAGGTGTTTCTGTGTCGTCAGGTACAGAAAACTCAAGTGAAGACCCCACCTGAAGTGGTCTCCGAATAATTGTGAGGAGAGAGGAAAGTAAATGTTTGCATATTGCATTCCATTGGATTAGGTAGTCCAGGAATATTGCTTAATTAAGCTTTTGACCAAAACACTTCAGAAATGTGTTCACTACAGTGATCAGAATTCTGTTGCCTACGGTAATTGTTCAGTCATTCCGAGCGCGTTCCGATCGAGCTGTCCTGCGAAGGAAGAGGCACCGGTCGATGCCCCTCTCCAACCTGTTAGCTTCAGGAACTTGCCGCGGCCTGTCTGGCCGGGGTGGGCACGCACAGCATTAACGCCTCCTGGGATGTTGACCGGCAGGGGATCACTGTCAAGTGCCGAGTTTCGGGTCCAGAACCCAAGTTTTGAAATGGGGGAGGAGGAACTTGTGCGCATTATTTAAGTTTGTTTCAGCTGTTTTCGTAAATGCTGGCCCTTGTGTTACGAGCTGTTGTGCTTGGGTTCCACGATCCCAAATTACGAGTCAGGCTGAGACTGGGAACGCTTCCCTGAAGCGCGGGGGAGCTTCCGGGTCTCTCCGCGGCTCGGCCGGCTTCTGTCTTTATCTTATTTTTCCACGGGGAACCTTAAACTGCAAGCCACCATTTCTCATAGAAGGATGGAGGGTGGTAACTCTGGGGCTTGCAGAGTTGTGGCTGCCTGCACGCTTCCGAGAGGTGCGTGCGGGGGGTCAGCACCCCTCATCCAGGAACTGCAGGGCGACCTGCAGGTCCCAGTTCCTCAGCGGGGCTGGCCACGTCCCAGACAGGCACTGACATGGGGCGTAATTTCAGCGCCGGGAACGGAGGGGGATGACAGGCTGATGGAGCGGTCTGTTCTGTGTTTGCCTTTGTCTGCTGTTATCCTGGAGAAGCTGTGATGGCAGAATTCCTGGTTTGACCATGTGTGTGGTTTCGGAATGCGCAGAGTGATGTTTTATAGCCTCTTCCTGTTTATTGCTTAAGTGAGTGAGGAGACTGCCTGGCGAAAAGGGTAAAATGAAAAGCCTGGTCTGGGTCAGCTGCACCTTAACCGAAGGTCTCACCCTTCGGATCCCGCAGACGGCAGCGAACGTTAGGGCAACACTGGACAAGGGAGCTTGGCTTGGAGCCTCCGGGCTTTCCTGCGCCGCGGTCGTCCCGTTGGGGTTGGGGTTTAACCGCGTTCTCTGGCCGCCCGTTCCGAGCCCTCCTCGTTTGCAGTGGTTGATGCTGCTGCCTGCAACGGATCCCTGCGCTGGCAGGAACAGAAGGGCCGTGCGGGCGGGTGGCAGGGCAGGGTAACCGAGTACTGGGGTGGTAACGCTGATTTACCTTTTTGGGGTGCCTCGCGTAATTCTGGAAAACCTGCGTTTGCAACAAAAATGTGAGTAGCTGTTTAAGATGACTGATGGTTTCGTCTGTCACGAAAGCTTTGTCATTCCCTAATTAAACTAAATGCCTCTGTTATACTGCTTTTTTTCCTTTAGGACTTTTCTTTCTGCCTGGCTAGGCTGGAGGTTCGCTGGAACGCGTTTGCCTGTTGGTTGTGCTGCTGCTTCTTAGCTGCTCTGCCGCTCGACCATCGGCCTAGCAGC